ACCCGTGTTCACAATAGCAAAAAGATGGAGACATCCTAAATGCTCTCAATGGAAGAATGGATACACAAACTGCTACAAACACACAATGGAATATTACGCAACATTAAACAATAACAACGAATTTGAAAAATAGCTCACAATGTGGATGAACCTGGAGGACATTATGCTGAGTGAAATAAGTCAATCACAAAACAACAGATATCGTATAAAACCACTGTTGTAAAAAGTTAAGAAAAGATTTTCTTGATAAATGAAACACTCTATGATAGCTACCAGGCAGGTGGGGAGGGGGATTCAGTGAATAGAGGTAAATATTGTTAAAAACAAAAAAAAAATGGCCATGAAATAATTTAATAGAATATAACCTCACATAGGAGTCCTGGTGTGGCACTGTAGGATACGTATTAGACTATTAACCACAAGGTTCAAACCCACCAGCTCCTCCAAAACCCTATAAAGTGTTGGTATGAGTCGGAACTGACTCGACTGAACTTAACAATAACAACATAACTGTATTATTAATACAATTAAATAATATAATTATATTTGTGATTAATGTTATCATATAAAATATGTATCCACTTGAATAAGCCCAGGAAAGAGACAGAAAGAAATGAATGCAGTTATTTAGGGAACTATCCTAAGCCATGGGTTACACAGACAGCGTAAGGTTGTGTTCTTTTATGCACAAGGTCCACTATACCACAACTAATAACAAAATAGGTTACAAGGAAGTGACAGGAATGGGTTTCCTAGCAGACTGACCTGGGTTCAAAGCAACACTCTGCCCCACCTTAGCTGGGTGATACACTCACATCCTGCATCCTCTGTTTTCTCATGGGTAAAACAAGACCTGTTTTCTCACTCTTTTGACCATAATCCACAGTAACATACAATTGAGATTGTAATTCAGTACAAACACAAATTTACATTTAACCAATGCAGATGTTTCAGGAAACATTGCTCATGCTAAGCTTGCCCACTCTGTTACTTTTGTTTATTATGTTGTTTTTAAAAACATATTTTCATCACCAAACTGCAGCTTAAAAAAACCCTAACATAACCCATGGGTGTGTCACCACAAATTCATAAAAGATATTTAACTAGCAAAAATCTTTCCAAATTTTGTTTAAAGTATTAACAGATTTATTCTTTTAAAACACTTCAGCTAAATATCAATTTCCACTCAAACATCAACAAAAATTTACAAACAACCTGTTTCAGGTGGAGCACCATGTATGTGAAGTACAATAAGGCAGAAGTGTCTCATCCATCACAGAATATAAATCCCCAAGATGGAGCAGAGGCACTGACACATTTAACCACAGAACAGCCCTGTTGGGTGCCAGGTAGTAAGGAGTTCTGAGGCAGGACTCCAAGGGAATGCATTTTGCACTGAAGACAATGGAACGTTCTGGAGCACACTTTTTGTTTCACTAGCTTTTGAGTTGCGGTGTTGGAGGAGAATATTGAAAGTACCACAG